TCCTCTTTCAAAGTCTAACAATATGGTTCTTGCTCTCAGAACTGCTGCTCATTGGATGGTTTTTGCTGTTTTTTTTACATCACTCTCTGTAAACTAGGGACTGCTGTTTGTGGAAATCCTAGGGGATGCTTCCGAGATGCTCACACCACCACATATAGCATCTACAATCATGCCAAGGTTAAAGTCATTTAGAGCTCAGATTTTCCCTATTTTAATGTTGATTTGAGCAACAACTGAATCTCTTGACCATGTTGACATGCTTATTTAGTTAATCTGAGCCACATAACACTGTTTGCATTAACAAGTAGCAAGAACCCTAAAAAAGTGGTCCCTGAGTGTAGTAAGGAAGGCTTTTTAATAATTCCATTTATGATGTACCATATTTTCACAGCATATGAGAATAAGTAGAGTTAGTACATGAGTGCTGCAGATTAAAAAAAGAAATGTTTGTGCTTTCTATTTGCCTGCATAGATGGAATTTGCCCTATGAGCTGTGAGGAGAAATACATTTCTAATGTTCATTTTGCTAGATAGATGCCACCCTGCTTAGGCTCTTTTCACACAGGTTGGACTCTGTTATGATCAGTAGGGGATCTGTCTGCTGATTGCCTACTGAGCAGAGCAGGCGGATGATGGGTCCATGTCTCCTCAGTTTATGCAGAGCAGACACGGAAAGAGCACGTGTAAACTAACTTCACTGTCCGTTTACACCATTCTGATTTTTTTTTTTTTTTTGTAAGCGGACCGTATCAGATTGGAGGTAGGCTGGTGTAAACAAAGTCTGTTTACACCTGCCAGTCAATAGAGAAGAATGGAGGGTTCAATCAGGTCCGCCTGAAAAACTGATAGGCAGACCTGTTCAGACCCTTGGTATGAAAGGGGCTTTACAGTTTTTGTTTTGAGTAGGGTAGATTTGTAGAATAGAGCCAGTGTAGTGGGGTGCTGAAAGTAGTTGTGGTGCATGCTGCACCTGTTTAGAAAAACAGCCAGTGTTTAAAACCTGTTCCAGTGTGAAGGGGGTCTTATTTTTATTGTACAGTATAGGACACAGGAGTTTAGCCTTATGGGTTATATGCCGCTACCTTCAGGTGACTGGACACTTGCAAAAGCTTTTCTGGGAATAGCCACCCCTCCTCCCGTGAACTCATATACCCTCGCCAAATCTGTGAAGCTCCAATTTTTTGCTAGAGTCCTTTTTAGGTGACGGAGTTGTTCTCTTCTCAGAGAAGAATTTTTTTTTTTCTACTTTTCACTAGTTTTCCTTGTCTTCGACAAATACTTCTATCAAGATTTGACTGTTTATCACCTTTTGGCTCACTAGCAGTTTCTGGATTGCTTATCCTCCATTGTACATCTTGGGAGTCGTACACTGACCCCATAACACTGGGAATTGCTTGTAAATCTTGCTCCAAGCATTGGATCCTGCATTCGTCACTCACTTTGCTATGTGGTACAGGTGGGTTAGTCACAGGGTGCTATACAAATTCAGGGCTGCAGTCTATGCCTACAGACCCTAAGGACCCCTTAGTGTGTGTGTCTACCATGACAGGCAAAGCCTAGACCCTAAGGCCCTGTTCACATCTGGGCATTTGTGATTTGAGGCTCCTGCTCTTTTTTGAGCAACCAGCTTCGTGCAATGCGGTTTGCTACAATTGCAGCACGTACTCCAAAAGATAAACAAACGTAACGAGCGCTCCAGTCTTCATACAACCAAGGAGATGCCGAAATGCCAACTGAAGAGGTGCAGCCCTTCTAAGATCGGGAAATCTGAGCACTAGTGGAAAAGAACAGACAAGGGCGCACTCTCATTGTGCATTACCGTGGTAGAACACGTATTTAATGAATAAAAAGAGGATATATACTCACAAACCAATGTGATTAAAAGCAGTATAAGTGGTCCACAAAGACAGTCACAATACATTTGTGTCTAATGATGCAAATAATCTGACGTGTTTCGGGAGCTGAACCCCCTTCCTCCTAGCTAGAAAGACCAGTGACATGGACAAAGTAAGACAGGGTTACCTTTTATGTACCAGGTCCTGGCTACATAATTCTTGTTGGATTATTTCCTGTACACAAGCCTTTTGGAGGGCACAGGTTATGGGATATTCTACCCCGATTCTACCCTGTGTTTTCACCCTGATTATTATCATTTTGTTTACTCAGCCCTGAAGGTATCCTGTTTTTTAACCACTTGCTGATCGCCCCATAGCAGATGTAATGCTACAGGGTAGCCGCACTGTGCAAAATTATTTATTTATATATATATATATATATATATATATATATATATTTTATGGTAATATTCTGAGGGGATTAAGCTCACACTGGCGGCATATGAAATCAAGGTCAGTCTTTATTTTTCAAATAATAACAAACAGCTTTTATGCCAGCAAAAAGAAATAAAACTGTCCCAGCAGCGGGATAATAGTCTTTCACACAAATATAGTCTTTGTGGCTTACCGCCATCCACAGAGTAAGTCATTCTACAGCACTGTCACCCCAGGGCTGTGTGTGCGTCCTCCTCTGAGGGTCAAACACAGCTCTTAGCCACTCCAGCAAAAATGGCTCAGTAGTTTAGGAGCAGACACTGTTTCTCAGCCATGTGTCTTCCTACACACAGCTCACACAGCCCCCCTGCTAGGTGAGGGCTATGCCCTTAACATACCTCTCCTCCCAGATGAGGCCATTAACCCTTCATCTTCCGGGGTGAGAGGTTAGAGACTCATCCCTCCCATTAACTCTTAAAGTCTCCAGACTCCAGGGACCCACAACAAACTAAAAAACACAGGAGAAACTGCTAACCAATTTCCTCTCTTGATGGCATTCCCCTGCAGTCTTTTAAAAGGAACAAAAATAACGCCCCTCGATGACTCATCCTTGGCACCTTCTAATAAATATATATATATATACACACACACACACACACACACACACACACTATCTCACAGTAGTGAGTACACCCCTCACATTTTTGTAACTATTTTACTATATCTTTTCATGTGACAACACTAAAGAAATTACACTTTGCTACAATGTATAGTGAGTGTACAGCTTGTATAAAAGTGTAAATTTTCAGTCCCCTCAAAATAACAACACACAGCCATTAACCTCCCTAACGGTATTCCCGAGTGTAGCTCGGGGTAAAATGTCTGTACCAAAAGCGGTAACCCTGAGCTACACTCGGGCTTACCATGCGGCGCTGCATAGGGAGTCCCTGCAGCACTTACCTTGTCCTTTGCTCCCGCGATGTGTCCCCTGCAGTGTCCCCGGCCATCTCCTCCGGCCGATGCAGGCATCCGGCTTCTGTGTTCCAGTCCCTGTGACGCCGGGACGTACGGGCGCCGGCGGTGGCGGGAAATTTGAAAATTTAAAAAAAATTTCATTTTTTTTCAAAAACACATTTTTCATAGTAAAACATTGCTGTTTGCTAGTGCTTTGTCCTGTGCCCTGCCTGTGTTTTGTCTGTTCTTTCTGCCTGGAAACTGAGAAATGTCCATGGCGTCCAAAAAGTGTCCCTTTAGGTCAAAAGCGGGTTTAGATCAGCTAGAGAACAGCGAAATCAGATAGTAAATCAGAACCACTTACAGAATTGAGTGATAATGATTCGTGGGGAAATTTGTCATCAGACACTGAAAACGATTTTGCGACTTTGCTCAGTGATGTGCGAACTTGGCGCTATATTTAAAATTTCAGTGTTTTCGGTTTGATTATATTATTGAATTAAATGTATTATTATTATATTATTAGTTTTTATGATTTATTAAATTATAATTTATGATTTTGTGTTTCAAATTTTATCATACCCGGGATGTTTAATAGACTCTTGTTCAGACAGTTTTCAGTGAGTTATTCCTAAAAATTACAGCCTACAATAAAAAAACGACTTATTTCCATGCAAAATAATGGTACCGCTTTTCAGCACCAAAAATCTGAAATAATCATACCGCTAGGGAGGTTAATGTCTAAACCGCTGGCAACAAAAGTGAGTACACCCCTAAGTGAAAATGTTTTGGCTCAAAGTGTCAATACTTTGTGTGGTCACCATTATTTTCCAGCACTGTCTTAACCCTCTTGGGCATGGAGTTCACAGGAGCTTCACAGGTTGCCACTGGAGTCCTCTTCCACTCCTCCATGATGACATGGATGTTAAAATCCTTGCGCTCTTCCACCTTACATTTGAGGATGCCCCACAGATGCTCAATAGGGTTTAGGTCTAGAGACATGCTTGGCCAGTCCATCACCTTTACCCTCAGCTTCTTTAGCAAGACAGTGGTCATCTTGGAGGTGTGTTTGGGGTCGTTATCATGTTGGAATACTGCCTTGCGGCCCAGTCTCTGAAGGGAGGGAATCATACTCTGCTTCAGTATGTCACAGTACATGTTGGCATTCATGGTTCCCTCAATGAACTGTAGCTCCCCAGTGCCGGCAGCACTCATGCAGACCATGACACTCCCACCACCATGCTTGACTGTATTCAAGATACACTTGCCTTTGTACTCCTCATCTGGTTGCTGCCACACACACTTGACACCATCTGAACCAAATAAGTTTATCTTGGTCTCATCAGACCACAGGACATGGTTCCAGTAATCCATGTTCTTAGTCTGCTTGTCTTCAGCAAACTGTTTGCGGCCTTTCTTGTGCATCATCTTTAGGAGAGGCTTCCTTCTGGGACGACAGCCATGCAGACCAATTTGATGCTGTGTGTGGCGTATGGTCTGAGCATTGACAGGCTGACCCCCCACCCCTTCGGTCAACCATATCAAGGCCTGTCCTGAATGGAACCTGCCCTGTTAAGCCACTGTATAATCTTGGCCACCATACGGCAGCTCAGTTTCATGGTCTTGGCAATCTTCTTATAGCCTAGGCCATCTTCATGTAGAGCAGTGGTTCTCAACCTTTCTAATGCCGCGACCCCTTAATACAGTTCCTCATGTTGTGGTGACCCCCAACCATAAAATTATTTTCGTTGCTACTTCATAACTGTAATTTTGCAGTGGGAGGAGTAGTGCCACGTCATTGGTGTCAGTGGGAGGAATAGTGTCCCATCATTGGTGTCAGTGGGAGAATAGGCCCCATCACTGATGTCAATGGGAGGAATAGTGCCCCATCATTGGTATCAGTGGTAGGAATAGTGCCCCATCATTGGTGTCCCCATCATTGGTATCAGTGGTAGGAATAGTGCCCCATCATTGGTGTCAGTGGTAGGAATAGTGCCCCCATCATTGGTGTCAGTGGTAGAAATAGTGCCCCATCATTGGTGTCAGTGGGAGGAATAGTGCCCCATCATTGGTATCAGTGGTAGGAATAGTGCCCCCATCATTGGTGTCAGTGGGAGGAATAGTGCCCCATCATTGGTGTCAGTGGTAGGAATAGTGCCCCATCATTGGTGTCAGTGGTAGGAATAGTGCCCCATCATTGGTGTCAGTGGTAGGAAATAGTGCCCCATCATTGGTGTCAGTGGGAGGAATAGTGCCCCCATCATTGGTGTCAGTGGGAGGAATAGTGCCCCCATCATTGGTGTCAGTGGGAGGAATAGTGCCCCCATCATTGGTGTCAGTGGGAGGAATAGTGCCCCCATCATTGGTATCAGTGGGAGGAATAGTGCCCCCATCATTGGTGTCAGTGGGAGGAATAGTGCCCCCATCATTGGTGTCAGTGGGAGGAATAGTGCCCCCATCATTGGTGTCAGTGGGAGGAATAGTGCCCCATCATTGGTGTCAGTGGGAGGAATAGTGCCCCATCATTGGTATCAGGGGGAGCAATAGTGCCTTAACATTGGTGTCAGTGGGAGGAATAGTGCCCCATCATTGTATCAGTGGGAGGAATCGTGCCCCAACATTGGTGTCAGTGGGAGGAATAGTGCCCCATCATTGGTATCAGTGGGGGGAGGATTAGTGCCCCATCATTGGTATCAGTGGGAGGAATAGTGCCCCCATCATTGGTATCAGTGGGAGGAATAGTGCCCCATCATTGGTATCAGTGGGAGGAATAGTGCCCCCATCATTGGTGTCAGTGGGAGGAATAGTGCCCCATCATTGGTGTCAGTGGGGGGAGGAATAGTGCCCCCATCATTGGTGTCAGTGGGGGGAGGAATAGTGCCCCATCGTTGGTGTCAGTGGGGGGAGGAATAGTGCCCCATCGTTGGTGTCAGTGGGGGGAGGAATAGTGCCCCATCGTTGGTGTCAGTGGGGGGAGGAATAGTGCCCCATCGTTGGTGTCAGTGGGGGGAGGAATAGTGCCCCCATCATTGGTGCAGTGGGGGGAGGAATAGTGCCCCATCGTTGGTGTCAGTGGGGGAGGAATAGTGCCCCATCGTTGGTATCAGTGGGGGGGGGGAATAGTGCCCCATCGTTGGTGTCAGTGGGGGAGGAATAGTGCCCCATCGTTGGTGTCAGTGGGGGGAGGAATAGTGCCCCATCGTTGGTGTCAGTGGGGGGAGGAATAGTGCCCCATCGTTGGTGTCAGTGGGGGGAGGAATAGTGCCCCATCGTTGGTGTCAGTGGGGGGAGGAATAGTGCCCCATCGTTGGTGTCAGTGGGGGGAGGAATAGTGCCCCATCGTTGGTGTCAGTGGGGGGAGGAATAGTGCCCCATCGTTGGTGTCAGTGGGGGGAGGAATAGTGCCCCATCGTTGGTGTCAGTGGGAGGAATAGTGCCCCATCATTGGTATTAGTGACACCAATGATTGGGCACTATTCCTCCCACTGACACCAATGATACTTACCTTGCTGACCCCTGCTCCAGCCTGGGCTCGCTCGCTCCCTCCCTCTCCCATGGTACAGACACTTACCGGTCAGATGTCTTCCTTCTCCGGCCGCTCTCCTCCTCTTCACTCGCTCGACTTCGCGGTGCCGCTCGGCTCCTCCTTTCCAAGCTCCACCTCCTCGCCGGTGATTGGTCGCCTGTGTGCCTCTCCTGAGCTACAGTTCCGGCAGCCAATCACCGACGAGGAAGGATTGATCCCGGGGGTGTGTCCAGATGACAGGGACGGCATGTCATCCCGCCCACGCCTGGAGACGGATCAAGGAGCGGTGTCTCGGTTCCTAAGGCCATCGGAAATATGTGTTTTCCGATGGTCTTAGGCGACCCCTAGGAAAGTGTCGTTTGACCCCCAAAGGGGTCGCGACCCCCAGGTTGAGAACCGCTGATGTAGAGCAACAATTCTTTTTTCAGATCCTCATTGCCATGAGGTGCCATGTTGAACTTCCAGTGACCAGTATGAGAAAGTGAGAGCAATAACACCAAACTGAACACGCCTGCTCCCCATTCACACCTGAGACCTTGTAACACTAATACGTCACATGACGCTGGGGAGGGAAAATGGCTAATTGGGCGCAATTTGGACATTTTCACTTAGGGGTGTACTCACTTTTCTTGCCAGCGGTTTAGACATTAATGGCTGTGTTGAGTTATTTTGAGGGGACAGCAAATTTACACTGTTATACAAGCTGTACACTCACTACTTTACATTGTAACAAAGTGTATATATATATATAAATAAAACACAGATCTCTCCCCTGTCAGCGAAGATGTGCTGCTTTCTAACTCTCTGCAAAGCAGAGAGATAAAAAGCAGCACACCCCTAGTAAAACACTTCACCGTAATCACAAATCAGTTCACGATTAACCCTTTGATCGCCCCAGATGTTTACCCCTTCCTGCCCATTGTCATTAGTACTGTCAGTGCTTTTCATTAGCTCTGGTCATTGTATTCGTGTCACTGGGGATGTCAGTGGCAGTTAGTCAAGTTCCCACCCAGTGTCAGAATGCCCATCCAGCTATAAGTCGCTGATTGCCACCATTACTAGTATAAAAAAGTAAATTAAAAAAATTCCAGTATGTATACCTCCATTTGTAGACACTATATCGTTCATGTAAACCAAATAACGTACACCTATTTGGAATTTTTTTTTTTTAGCAAAGACATATAACCGAATACATTTTGGCCTAAGTTTATAAATGTTATTTTTTAAATTTTTTATTGGATATGTTTTATAGCAGAAAGTCCAAAATATTGTTGTTTTTTTTTTTAACTGACTGTCTTTTTTTTGTTTTATAGTGCAAAAAATAAAAACTGTGATCAAATGCCACCTAAAGAAAATAAATGTATTTTATATACGACATTGCATGACCACGCAATTGTCAAAGTAATGCAGCTCCATATTGCTAAAAATGGCCTGGGGTAAATCTTCTGGAGGGCAAGTGGTTAAAATGTTTACACAATTACAAATTAGCGGTCTTTTCTTCCACCTCACTGCCTGAAGTTCCTCTCTGGCTAATGGTATAGTGCTCATAAGACTCCTGACTGTGTACTTCCGACAACCATTTCTAGCAACAGTGTAAGCCGATTGCTGTCTCAGATGTTGCCTGATATGCCAGAGACACAGCCACAGGAACATGGTTAGCATCGGTGCTATTGCAATTCCTTCATACTGGACATATTGAAACCCCTTAGTCTACAACCATTCTAGAAGTACCCTGCAAGGGAGGTTCCTCACTTCACAATGACACTGAGGAACAAGAGCACATGATACAAATAGCAGGAATTCCCCAGCAGGCCCTGAAAAATTTCAAAACCTTTCAGACTGGTAACAGTTCCTGTATTCCAGAGAAAGATCTTACAGTGAGACTGCTCCATTCCCCTAATTTGAGCTCCCTCACAGATGCACAGCATGTGGCCTGTCCACTCCAGAGGCTATCCCCACTTCTGGAATTGCTGGATGCTAACAGCAGTAAACACTGTTGTGCGTCTCTGCCCCCGATTATCTTCAGTTGCTACATCCTGAACTGCCTACTGGACTTCACATTTCAGAAAGTAAGGGGGACATTTAGTTTTTAGCAGGTGAGTTGGATTATTTTTCACAGCCAAAATTTATTGAACTAGCTTGACACATTCTGGCTACTGTAGACTCTTGGTTGAAGCAGTGGGTTCTAGTCTCTGCTTAGCTCCATCTAGTGCTGTCCATCCCCCACGTACTCTTTTGAGAATGAAAAAGGAGACTATTCCTGGAAAGCCTTTCCCTTACTTGGATCAAGCTGAATGAGCCCTATATAATGAGTGGCCCAACTCAGAGTGGCTATTTTGTGATACTTTTGATGTACCCCTTTGTTGTACCCCATGGAAGTGCAGTTAAACTATAACTAAAGGCAAAACTTTTTTTTAGTTTTAGAGTGGAGATGGATTAGAACTAGGGATGCACTGAAATTTCGGTGACCGAAAAACACCCCTATCGGTCGTTGGCCGATATGAAAATAAGCACCGATGCAGTTGCCGAAATAACCCCGTCACTGTCCCTCGCCGCTGCTCGGTAGTTATCAGCCTTACCTGAGAAACCACCAAATGATCCCAGCACTGGGCATAGAGATAAGTGAAGGAAAGATGGCCTCCACATTATCTCTATGCTCTTGGAAGACCAGAGCGACATCACTTCCGGTTCCACGCCTTGTAAATAAGACTTTTTTTTTTTTTTTTTTTTAAGCATTAGATCAATGCTTTTTTTTTTTTTTTATGTAATGCTTTACCTTGTAGAGCAGAGATGTGGTGTCTTATTGACCCCATATCTCTCCATTAAGAGGACCTGTCACTAATTATTTCTATCACAAGGGATGCATGCATTCCTTGTGATAGGAATAAAAGTGATTAACATTTTTTAAAGGGACAGTGTAAAACAAAAAAAAAGTAAATAAATTAGCAAAAAATTTTAGAGTGCCCCCGTAGTGGTGAACGCATACGTAGGCCACGCTCACATATGCAAACGGTGTTCAAACCACACGTGTGAGGTATCACCACAAACGTCAGATTTGTCAAATCATTTTAGCACTAGATGTCCTCTGTAACTTTACACTGGTAACCTTTACAAAATTTTTAAAGCATCACCCATGGAGATTTTTAAGTACAATAGTTTGACACCATTCCACAAGCGTGTGCGCAATTTTAAAGCATGACATGTTGAGTATCTATTTACTCAGCGTAACATCATCTGTCATATTTTACAAAAAAACTGGGGTATAAATTGTGGGGTTTTTTTTAATCATTAAAGTATTTTTTTTTTCCCCAAAAAAATTGCATTTGAAAAATTATATTAATTTTTAAAAACTGTCCATCTCGGTTTTGGTTTTTCGCCAAGTGCATCCTGAATTTTCGGTTTCGGCACCAGAATTTTAATTTTGTTGCACCACTAATTAGAACACCTGTTAGCTTTTTATTGCTGTTTGTGTCCCATTTAGGGAGATTAACCCTCTCTATTTGTCCTGTTTACCATTATCATCAAACTGAAAGTAAGAGAAATTCTAAATATTGCGTTGTCCCCTGGAAAGTAAGAGGGGAAATTTTCACTAGTTCTGGTGACCTGGGAGTCACCACGGAATTCACTTAATTTGCAGAGATTTTCTAACTTCCTGTTTTTGGCTATGAAACAGCAAGTGAAGGTAAATCTCCACAATGGTACAGAAGTAGCAAAAAATAAACTGACGGGTTTTACCCTCCCTCTATCCAAAATGAAAAAAAAAAAAAAGTTATGTCTCTAGTTCTACTTTCAATAGAAGACTGTTCCTACTGTGGATTCAGTGATACACACTAAATATTTACCATTTCCTGTTTCCATTGATGGTATTCTCGCCTTCCTTTTATGGATTCATTTGATAGGTGTTTGGTAACTCATTTGGAGTCCCCCTTTTGCCTTGGCAGAACCAACCTTTCAACTGGCTCTTGCCACCTTGTTAGTTGCCCAGTCCAAAGCAAAACCGGTCTGGAGAAATCTATGGGTGAACATTTTTCTTATTTCATAGATGATCTTAACCTTGCTGCAAGATTACAACTCTTGACATCAGCTCTGCTCTTCTGTGTGGTCGCCAAGGAGAATGTAATCTGTCAAGTGTTCTGAATGGCCTTACATTTTGTGCATATGTGCAGACTAGTCGGCAGAATACCTTTTTGATTCCTTGTGCACATGCCTTTTGGAAGTATCCTTGAAGAATACATTAAGGTTGCTGCTGAGGGAAGGGGGCTCCTACCATGCAGATAAGATGTGTTCATCCTTCAGGGAGGCATCAATACTGAGGGTCCTTCCCATCATGGCAGACCTCTCACACCTCACAGCTGAGCCCACCAGATCTGTTCAGAAACTGTCTTCACTATAAGATGGCCCTACTCCTTAAAAAAGAGAAGGGGAAAAAAAAAAAGTTTGGTCAACATCAGCTGAGTGACCTCTGCCTGGTCTTCTATAGGCATACCACTAAATCTTGCATATGGGAGCTCTTCTAAATGTAATAGTAAGCGTAATGTGAAAAAATACACGTTTTTGAATTTTAATGCACAAAAAGAAAATATAATACCCAATTGTTTGGTGAAATTTAAAAGATGTTACACCGAGTAAATAGATACCAAACATGTTAAAATTGTGCATGCCTGTGCAAGGGCAACAAAGAGTGTAAATGTTATTATCCATAGGTGACACTTTAAAAGCCTTTACAGTTTTTACTTTAGATTTACACAAGAGGTCCAGTGCTAGAATTACTGCCCTCGAGTTGACGTTCGCGGTGATGCCTCTTGTGTGGGACGATCACTGTGTGCGCGCATATGGAACCAATGTGTGCGTTCACCTATTTATTTATTTTACACTTGCTTTAATTTTTTTTTTTAGTCACTCTTACTGTTATCACAGGGAATATAAATATCCCTTGTGATAGCAGAAGACAGTGACAGGTGATCTTTATGAAGAGATCAGGGGTCTGTTAGACCCCAGATTTCTCCTCTGTCCTTAAAAGCATCTGATCAAACCAATATCTATGTGATCAGATGCCTTCCTAATATAAACATGGTGCTGATTACATCCGGGGAAACCAGAAGTGATGAATGTTAGTTGCTTCTGGTTTCCTATACCATAATGATGATCAGAGCCATTCTGGTCTCTGATTACTTCTATGGTCAACAGGCAGTAGTGTCAGCTGGTCACTCGGATATCCCAGTGAGATGGGTTGGGGGAGAGAGGGGAGTCCCCTTTGCACTACTTGTGAAAGCAATCCAGCAGCTAATTAGCCGCAAGGATTGCTTTTATATATAAGCCACTCCAGGTCACTGGCAGTATCCTCTCTACACATGAAGGCTAGGTCCATTGCATGGATCCCCTTTTCTACACTGGTCTTCAATTCTCAGACTCCGCTCTGAGTCTTGATATGTCTGCCCTCTATCATACAAATGTCAAAGATCACTGAGCCACCTGCTTTACTAGCTGAGCAGTCTTCTGATCTTGAATTCTTAGGCTCCATGCACACTGGGCTTTTTAATAACGCTGGTAGCGTTAGCTGTGCAAGGTCACGTTAAAATGTGAGGTTTTGTTTTTTTTTTTTTTTTTTTTGTTAGCATCTTTGCTTTAGCATTTAGCCACATTTGCATTTTTTTAGCATTTTTTACCCTCCAATTTTTTTTACTCAAAAAAAGTCAAACACTGGTTTGCCATGTTTTGATGCGTTTTACCGTGTTTTTTAGCGTTAGAACATTTTTACAGCTAAAAGCTCCTCTAGAAACCCACTAGTTCTGTTTATTTTTCCAGCCAAACAACGCCTCTGCCAAAAAACCGCTTATTACAGCCTATGTGTGTATGGATGGACACATAGGATAACATGCTGGGGAGTTCACTGGCTGTAGAAAAAAAAAAAAGTCAAAAACAGCAGCTGTAAAAACGTCCTGTGCATGAGGACTAAGAATTGACCTTGACAGCGGTCAGCTTCAATGCCGAATTAATGCTAGAAAATGATATATTGTCCCTATCCTCAGTTCTTCTTTTATGTGCTTGTCTCCTTCAATATGTGGTCTATAGATACCTCAGCTTTTGTCTCTGCATCTCACCAATCATATTCAGCTGCTCTATAGACTCTTTTAGAGATCTCCCAGCATCTGTAATCCCTTAATTAGTTCATTAGTTAGACACATTCCAACCTCTAGGTTGGGTGCCCTCCATTTCCATGCAGATTTCCCTCCACATACTCTAATCTATTGTGGTAGGTAGTTTTCCCCTTGTGTGATAGGGAACTCTGTTCTACAAATTGTTTGCGTTCCTCATCCAGCAACTTCTTCCATTGGACACTTAGCACTTGCTGTCTGACAGGTTTTGGTAAGACTTCGTATATTCTCTTCATAATACTGCCACTGCATTTCTTGTGTGCTCAACTTTGCAAAAAGTTGTTCTTTGTTGCTGTTTTGACTATGTGCTAACCTAGAGGCCTCCTTCAGGTGCTCTTGCACACGCACAGCCCCCTCCCCTCTTGTTTTAGAGTGATTACTCCCATACAAGGCCTTTTTTAAGAACGGAATCTTTACCTTTCCATTACCCATTACAGCAGCAGTTCTGCTTTGGCTCCCCCTGTGCTCTACCTGGGGCCTCCCTCCTTTCCTCAAGTTGCATAGTAACAAAGAAGCTAGTCCTGGAAGCTAGTCCTTCTTTTTCTTCGGGATTTTTTTGTCCCCTTCTGTGGGAATGTCATTCTCCTTCCCTCTGTCTTGATTTGAGGACAAGTCAAACTCTTACTATATGTCTTATGGATAGGGTCAGGACTGTCATGTATGGCTACCTGCCATTTATCGCCTTTCAGACTGACCCCTTTTCTGTGTCTCTCAGGGCAATTCCTCTAGGTTAAATTGCTTTTTTTTGCAGGCTCCTGCCCTCCGGAAATGAGTCTTTCTTACCTGCATCCATGCCCCTTGGAGGTTGGGGTTCTTGGGTTCTTTACAGCACCTGGCATCAGTTCTTTTCAGGGGTTGCAGGGCCACTGCCTGTTTGGTTCATGTTAAGGTGCTTATGTTGTTGCCTGTGTGTTTTGGTCCATTGACCCTTCTTCTTTCTGTGGGCCTGTTGCTGACATTTTGGCTGTTTTTATTACCCACCTCTTGATTTATTTTTGGGGATGTCCCATGGTATAAGAATCAACACCTGTGTCCTGTACTGTAGGAATAAGAAAATTAAGAATTTTTTGATGTACCTGTAAATTTCATTTCTTGCAATACAGGACAGAGGTCCCTCCCCTGTCATTTCTACTGATTGGTAAAAAACTGAAGCCTCACGTTGTGGGCACGGTTATATGGGTACTCTGGGGGTGTTTCCCAGCAAAGCCTTTCCCAGTGTCTAAACATCTGAAGGTAGTGGCATATAACACAAGGTCTAAGAATTAACGTCTGTATGCTGTACTCCAAGATAGGAATTTTGAAGTACTTGTAAATTCCAAATGTATCTATGTTTAGGAAAGATTACAAATTTTGATAATATCAGCTGCAGTCAGCATCACATTCACACATCATATACAGTATGAAATGCATGCAAGCTTATCAAAAACACTGCAAAAAACCTTTAAAAAACTTGTAAAGCCATAATTTTCATAGCTTCAGACATCTGACAGAGATGCCAAAAGTTGTATAGTCCTAGCTGAGTAAAACGTTTTTTTTTTTTTCCCTATATTTTACAGAATGACCATCAACATCTGCAAGTTGCTTTTTTTTAGTTGTCTTTTAAATGTACAAACTTTTCATTTATTTTATATTTAGTACACCAACTGATTTTTTATTTTTTGTGGCCCCTCTGAATAAAGGAGCATGATTGCATACAGTGTCATTGTTCATCGGATTCTGGCTAGTGATGCGTTAACGGGCCAGAGAAAGCCTAAATTGTAAGGAACAATTGTCAGGTATTGGAATTTGTATTCCAACAACCACCAGTAACATTGTTATATAACATGGTGTTAGCGGGCAGGAAACTTGCCAAACTCCATTCAAAACTAAATTTTGAATTTGGGGTGTTGTTCCTTTTTAACAAAATTCATTCATTTATTTTAAGCATTGCTGAGACATAGCTTTAGCTTTTGTTTGCCCTGTTATTTTAACCCCTTATTCTTTCACTTTATTATAGATTCAAGCTCAATAGATGTCTTGTATCCAGATCCATCAGATTCATATACCGGTGGGCTTTTCCCAGGTTCCGGCTCTTTTGACTGGAGTTCCCCAGATAGTAGTGGAGAGGGGAGAAACCATGAAGGAGGGCAAGAGAACAGCGTGGAGCGGTCTTCCCGGCCAGGGAACAGTCGCATTCCTGGAAAAGACCACCGGCGTTACTATCACAGTCACTGGAGGCTTGAGTATTTGATGGACTTCAATGCACGTTCTCATAGCATGATCTGTATGGTTTGTGGCAGTTCCCTGGCCACCTTGAAACTCAGCACCATCAAACGTCACATTCAGCAGAAACACCCCTATTCCCTCACTTGGACTCCCTGTGAAAAGGAGGTCATCATTGGTGGCTGGGATGCCCATCTATGTGTTGATGCTCAGACCCTTACAGGAGGCGAAGAGCAGGGGGCAGGTAAATTTTGGTCTACAAATATCAAGTCTGGCAGTGGTCAATACTTTTTCATTGACAATATTCAAAAGTACAAGCCTAGTATACCTGGAAGCCAAATCCAGGGAACCTTTATTAAATGGTGTGAGGGCCCTTGGCCCAGATGCACACAGATGGTAAGCAAGGTGTTTACTTTGCTTCCATTACTCCTGCAATTTAAAAGCGACTATGAGGTTCAACAGGCAATCAAAGCAACAGTCCGTTCACCTGCACAGAGAGCGCTTGCACGCACACACTCGGCAGAACAGTAGGGCCATGTCAGTACATTCAAGTGAGATTTTGAGTTCAGTATGAAAAGAGCATAAAGCTCTTGTGTTTACTAGGCCTTTTGTGTTGTCATTATGTGTAAGCATTTGTGTATTTTGTCATGTAAAGAATTCCTTTCAACCATTAACTGTCTCATATTTTGTTCATTTTTAGACTGTTTCCATCGGCGTCTCTATATATAATTATATACATCCTCATGGGTGTATATCTTAACTCTTTCCTTTCTCTTTCTACAGATGGTATTGAAGTTAAACCTGGTCCAAAAAAGAAGCGTCGTCTTCCTCTGGTAGCAAAAGGATCATGGCGTCCTCTGTTAGGATCTGAGATTGAGCTGCCTCCACCTCCGGACAGAAGCCAAATAGAACAGTATATGAATGAGTCTTTTAAACAGTGGTTACGATTAGAGTTTTTGATGGATTATGACTGTCAAGGGGACAATCTGTACTGTATGATGTGTGCAACAGCTTTACCAAGTCTCAGTATTCATGATATTAAAAATCATATTTTAGACAATCATCCCACATCCATTTATTTCAACTCCCCACAGAAAGGTCTTATTATAGATTCATGGATAAATCGTAAGGAAGGTCCAGAAGAGATTGTAGATGTTGAGGATGAAATGGATGAAGATGAGGAAGAAGATGCAGAGGTTGATCTGACAAAAAATGATTTTGATGAAGAGGATTATTTGGTAGAGAGAAAACAATTACAGATCCAGGACTGCAAAAAAATGTGGGTAAAGAAAATATTAATGGAGAAACCAAGGAAAAGGGAGAGCAAAAAAATGTTGAGACTTTGGAAAAAGATGGTCCCAAGCTTAGCAAAGTTCAACAGTTAGAGGACAGAAATGTGAACCCACTGGAGGAAGAAAAGACTGGAAAAGAAAAACCCTCACAGGTAGAAGAAAGGAATATTGGGGAGGCAAAGCTTCAAGATAAGGACTTCAAATCTAAAGTGGTGAAGAAGTTGGAGGAGCAAGAAAAGGTTATAGAGGCACAGCTTCTGGAGAAAGAGAAACAGAACAGTAATGAGCCACAACTGTTGGAAGAGGAGAAACTTAAAGCCAGAGAAACAAATCTCTTGGAGGAGGGGGAGAGGAAGACTAAAGAGACACAGCTGCTAGAAGAAGAGAAGCTTAAAGAGGCACAGCAGAAGGAAGAAACACCATTGCTGGGCAATGAGGAATTAAAAACTAAAAAACTGCAAACACTTGAGGAAGAACAATGTAAACCTATAGAGGCACAGTTGGAAGAAGAAAGAGTAAAGGTGTCTAACCATATGGAACTAGTGAAAGCAAAAGCGGTCCAAACACAGTCAGGTGAAAACCTGTGTGTGCCAGAAAACGTGAAAATAGAGAACCAGGAGACCGAACCAATCGTGAAGCTTAAAGGACAAGTTCTTGCTTCAGCTCTGGAGACCACAGTTGGGAATATCAAAAATGAGCAGGAGAAACATAATAGTCCAAAGCTGATAGAAGAAGGGAAGAAACTCTCAGTAATTCCAGAGAAACGTATCATTCAGGTGCAACAAGCGCCAGCTGTGTTGGGAATTGGAGTTCCCCTGTTAAAAAGTGAGTGACATCCATCTTAGTCAAACTAAAGCGATTTGATAAGCATTAGTATTATATTTGATTTACTGTGTGTTCATTCATATGCTTTCCTGTTTGTTTTCCCTTTACAGTGGAAACTCCAGCACCTATTATTATCACACGGGTCTCCGTTCTACCAGAGCATACAGTGATTACACCTCCAAAACCAAAGCCTTCTACCTCCACTTCTGACGCCTCAAAAAACTATCGGGTTATTGCTCCCAAAGTTATTGCAGGTCCAGAAGAACTCCAAACACAAAAACCATCATCCTCTGGTAGCACTGAGTCTTCTCCTTGGCCTGCAGGGGTTGACCCTGCCATTTGGGAGGTTAGTTTATGGCAAGATAATAGTGGTAATACCATTAACAGTTTCCAGTGCAATGCTTATCAGATGCGTTGGCGCTCAGATTACTTGATGGACTACAATGGATTGCGAGGAAGTGTGGTCTGCATGTACTGTTGCTCCTCACTAACCGTACTGAAAGATAGTAGCATAAAAAGACATATTGTACAGAAGCACCCTCATACATCCAACTTTTCTGCTGAGCAAAAGGCAGCTGTCATTCTTGACTGGGAAAATAAGCTAGCTGAAGTAAAGAAACTGATGGCAAAGCATAACATGGAAGGAATTGTTCTAGGAGGTAAGAGGAACATTGGTAATATATTTTGTTTTTGTGGATGCACATAGAAAGAATGAATTTGTTGAAAAAATGTTTTAAAACTTGTAGATGTATTTTTTTTCCTCTAATAAGGAAGATCTTTGTGCCAAACTTTTGGGTGGCGGTTTTCATTATACTGTCAGCCATAGTGAACTTTTAAAAGTGAATGTCCTGCATAATAGCAGACACCAGAAGGCGAGTTAATAGTTTGCTTCTCAAAAAGATTGCCTTCGCCAACCTCAGGACTAAACCTTACCCATTGTCCATTAAGATCTCTTATCTTTGCCACTGAGCCACCTTTATTGAATACAGAGGTAGCAGCTGCTTGGATTTAGTCATTCAAAAATATGCACAGATGAATATTTTATGGCCTATAAATGTAATAGCAGGCATGCCCTGTTTTCTGTTCATAGACAGACTATTTAAACATGTAAAAGTGTCCGACAGGTTTGTTTGAAAATCTGATCTTTAGATCCTGATTCATGAGATTCTTGATAGTCACTGCAACAATTAACCCCAGCTCACACTCCCCTAACAAGTGTGGGGACGTTTGCTGTGTACCTTTCAATCTTACTGTTGCGTGGAATCTTTTTACCCTGTAAATACAGGGTTTAACCTGTCATTAGAGTCCTCCTTAGCTCCATCGGTTAAAGCTGTGTCCCTTTCCCTATCGACTGGGGGCTCAAATACAGTTACACCAGACTTTGTGGCCACATTCATCCAGTATCTAGTTGGTTCTGATCACAGAGGTTCAAAGCGTGCTCACACTCCTTTCCTTACAGTGGCTGTTGCTAATCTGCTGACAGCCGTAGAGCCTTAGAAGCAGCAAGGCCAACGGTCACAGCAACAATTTCTAACTCCAGGTCACCTCATTCTCTCCCTCATGAGACCATATATGAGGAATCAGTCTTCTGCTGTTGACCCATATTTAAATGTGAGCTCTTACTGATGCAGTATGTTCTACTCTGCTTTTGAAGGGTCAGCCCTCTATCTGCAGTCTTGTATCTTTACGAGCACCTACAACTGCAAAGACCTTCACATTAGAACTGCTCTTTAAGGTATTCTTCTATGTAGATTGAAGGCACTAGGGGTGTGTACATTTTTGAAAAAACTATTTGTCCATGGACTAAATCGGGGCCCCAATCTATTTGTCCCTCATGACAATCTACTTGTCCAGATAAAAAAAAAAAAAGTTTAACCAAACTGTATTTAAATCGAAGGTGATTTTAGGAATGTCAGGGGCTTTTAAAAACAAGAGGCTTTATGGCAACTTAAACGTGTAATAATATTTTTAACATTGTGCTATTCATCTCCTCCTCCAGCCACGCACCCAGGGACTAGCAGGGAGGAGAGAGACCTTGCAGTGTAATGAGCACCGATTGGCTGCTCGACAGGAAAGGGTGGCTCAAGGCTTATACTTTGTGTTTCTATGTTTTATAAAAAGATCTTAATTTGTTTAGAAACACGGATCACTTTTTTTTTGAAAGGAAAGGTTTTCTCCCAATATGCTGCCACGTAGGCTGCTTTCTATTAAGGCCTGTGGAAAAACAGCCAGACAAGACGTGACATACACCATGCCCTGTTGGCTGAGTGAGGACAGAAGAGCCTCCTGAACCGGCATAAGATGTGGCTGTTGAAGAAGGCCCACAAGTGATCTGTGATCGGTAGTGTGGAATATACTTAGAGGTTGAAGGGGTAGTTAGCCCCAGCGTAAATACAATTATTTTTATCCTTTAAGTAGCTCTTAACCACTTGCCCTCCGCCCTATAGCAGAAGTACTGTGCTGCTATTGGCGGCTAGAGATGTCAATCACCCGGGCCCGGTCGGCGATTCCCGATCGGTGGGCAAAGCTGACAGGAGAGACCTGTGTGTAAACACAGGTCTCGATCCTGTCAGCTTGGACATGCTGTTTTGTATCTCTCTGCACAGCAGAGAGATACAAAACAGTATGTCTCCCTAGTAAAACACAAACCCTTCTTGCCCAGTGTCATTAGTACTGTCAGTGCTATTTCTTAGCACTGATCACTGTATTCGTGTCACTGGGGATGTCAGTGACAGTCAGTTCCCACCTAGTGTCAGAATGCCTGCCGCAGTCCCACTAGAAGTCGCTGATTGCTGCCATTACCAGCATAAAAAAAAATTAAATTCCAGTATATATACTGCCATTTCTAGACGTTACAACTTTCATGTAAACCAATTATTTACGCATATTGGGATTTTTGTTTAGCAAAGACATGTAGCAGAATACATTGTGGCCTAAGTTTATGAAGAAATTAGCTTTTTAAAAAATTTTTTTATTGGATATGTTTTATCGTCATCTCTTCTCTACTTTTAACTCTCGACTTTCTCCACCTCCACCCAGTACCTCACTCACTGCTCACGAGATTGTAAATCAAAAACAAGATTGACGCAATTCATAGGGGCATCGCCACTGCACCGACATCCATCCCACTTAGCATACCTTATGCTAAACCTCCCTCAACACTTTCCTCTTTTAACCTTGCTACTACCGAAGAGGTCATTAAGGTTTTCTCAAAAGTCCGTCTCACCACCTGCCCCCTGGATCCTGTCCCCTCACAACTACTACGGTCACCTTCTTCTTCCATCCTATGCTCCCTCACTCACATCTTCAATCTTTCCCTCTCTACTGGTGCCTTCCCCTCCCCTCTAAAGCATGCGCACATCACTCCCATACTTAAAAAGTCCTCCCTGGACCCCACCAACCTGAACAACTTAAGAATACATGATATACATATGCAGATGAACAGTAAGAGGCTTAGTGCAGAGACCAAATGATGTAAAACTATGCTAGATATCCTGAAGACAAAGCAAAGTGTATATGGTGACAATGGTGCCAAAGTCAATCTATCCATTGGTATAGCAAAATAAGAGAAATCCGTGACATTTGTGGTATAGAGAAGGAATGTTGATTGCACTAACCAGATAGCGCAATTGATTGCGCGTTGGAGTAAACAAGACCTACTCCTGGTCACTGGATCCGAGGCACTGCAACATGAATGGTCATCAGGTCAGCAACCTCCAGGTACTCTGTGTCATCTCCAGGTATTCCGTCATCAGCCACTGGAGGGATGTTACATGCTCTTATATCAGGAATCACCTCCCGTCATCAGCCACTAGGGGTATGTTGCACACTCTCATGTGTCAGGAATCACATTGGGGGGCTCGTAGAATAAACAAGCCCAGGAGAGAGGTATCCAATAGTGTAGATATTTTATTTCAAAAGGTGCAATATAAAAACAAGTATTCAACTTACATAAATTTCCAAGATGGCCGCCGGTCAAACATAGGGACTATGTGGGGGGCACCTCTCTAACGCGTTTCGTGTAAATACACTTTGTCAAATCTTGGCCATCTTGGAAATTTATGTAAGTTGAATACTTGTTTTTATATTGCACCTTTTGAAATAAAATACTGCACTATTGGATACCTCTCTCCTGGGCTTGTTTATTCTACGAGCCCCCCAAGGTGATTCCTGATATAAGAGAGCGTGTAACATCCCTCTGGTGGCCGATGACGGAATACCTGGAGATGACACAGAGTATCTGGAGGTTGCTGACCTGATGACCATTCCTGTTGCAGTGTCTTGGATCCAGTGACCAGGAGTAGGTCTTGTTTACTCCAACGAGCAATCAATTGCGCTATCTGGTTAGTGCAATCATCATTCATTCTCTATACCACAAATGTCATGGATTTCTCTTATTTTGCTATACCAACAGATAGATTGACTTTGGCACCATTGTCACCATATACACTTTGCTTTGTCTTTCAGGATATCTAGCATAGTTTTACATCATTTGGTCTCCGCACTAAGCTTCTTATTGTTCATCTGAATATGTATATCATGTATACTGTATTTTATAATTTATTATCCTGCTTTTAGGGCTGCATATTTTATGTTTAAGCATTTTATAAGGAGGTCTTTTGAGGTTTTGCCTTTTATGCCAGCAGCTTCTAACTGTTCATCACTATTTTTTATGCAGCGCTCATTTTACCCATTGTATATGAACAACTTAAGACCCATCTCCCTGCTGCCATTTACCTCTAAACTCTTAGAATGCTTAGTCTACAATCGCCTGAGCTCCCACCTCACCGACAACAACCTTCTTGACCCTTTACAGTCTGGTTTTTCGCTCACTACACTCCACTGAAACTGCCCTACTAAAACTCACTAATGATCTACTAACAGCTAAAACCAATGGCCACTACTCCGTACTCTTACTACTTGACCTCTCTGCGGCTTTTGATACGGTTGACCATCCCCTCCTCCTCAAAATCTCCACTCTCTTGGCCTCAGAAACTCTGTTCTCTCCTGGTTCTCCTCCTACCTATCGCAGCGCTCCTTCAGCATTTCCTATAACGCTGCCTCCTCCTCTTCACTCCCTCTTTCTGTAGGGGTCCCTCAAGGTTCTGTCCTTGGACCCCTTCTCTTCTCCATCTACACCTCCTCCCTTGGTCACTTGATAAACTCTCACGGCTTTAAGTACCATCTCTATGCTGATGACACACAAATCTATCTTTCTACCCCTCACCTCACCCCTTCAGTCTCCTCTTGCATTACTAACCTACTAAGCGACATATCAGCATGGATGCAATAAAGTAATATAAATAGCGCCATGGAAAAAAATAAACGAATTGGCCACAAAAACCTAACCTATAAATATAGGGTGCATAAATTATGAAAAAAAACAGGTTGCGCTAATAAAAATATACAAATAAATATATCTCAATATCATAAATAAATCATATAAAGTCTAAACAAAAGTCCAAAGTGATATAATGCGTGATGATTAACCACTTGCCCCCCTGAGGGTTTACACCCCCCCCCCCCCCTCCTGACCAGGCCTCTTTTTGCTACTCGGCGCTGCACTAATTCAACTGATAATTGTGCGGTCATGCAATGCTGCACCCAAACGAAATTAACGTCCTTTTTTTCACACAAATAGAGCTTTCTTTTGGTGGTA